ATTTATCACTTCTTTGTGTTGGGAACATTCCAATTCCACTCTCTTAGTTATTTTATTTTATTTTATTTTTGTTTATATATATATATATTTTAAGGGTTTTTTTTCGGCATATTATGGGGGTACAAATTTTAAGGTTTCTCTCTTAGTTATTTTAAAGTATACTCTAACTTGGTGACTATAGTCACTTTGTTGTGCTATCAACTATTGTTCATTCTATGTAACTTATCTAAATATTTTTGCACATATTTACCATCCCTATTTTATCCCCCTCCCTGCAACCCTTCCCAGCCACTGGTAACCATTATTCTACTCTCTGTCTCCATGAAATTGATTGTTTTAATATTTAGCTCCCACATCTGAGTGAGAACATGAGAGATTTGTCTTTCTGTGCTTGGCTTATTTCATGTAACATAACATTCTCCAGTTCTGCCTATGTTGTTGCAGATGGCAGAATTTCAGTCTTTTTATGGCTATATAATATTCCATTGTGTATATATGTATATACCACAATTTCTTTATCCATTGATGGATATGTAGATTGATTCCAAATCTTGGCTATTGTGAATAGTGCTACAATAAATATGGGAGTGCAAATATCTTTTTGATATGCTGATTTCCTTTCTTTGGGAGTATATATCTAGCAGTGGGATTGCTGGGTCATATAAGTAGTTCTATTTTTAGTTTTTTTTAGGAACCTCCACAGTGGTTGCACTAATTTACATTCCCACCAGCAGTGTACAACGGTTCCCCTATTTCCACATGCACACCAACATTCATTATTGCCTGTCTTTTTGATAAAAGTCATTTTAACTAGGGTGAGATGATATCTCATTGTAGTTTTTTATTTATTTTTATTTTTTTAAAGCCAGTCAAATTTAGCAGTGGGGGGTTGAACACCAGCTTTAGTGACACTAATGTTAATAAGTTTTGATAATCCACTACCATCAGAGCAGCCCCATTGTAGTTTTGATTTGCATTTCTCTGATGACTGATGATGTTGATCATTTTTTTCATATACCTGTTGGCCATTTGCAGATCTTCTTTTGTGCAATGTTTATTCAGACCTTTTGCCCATACTTTAATTGGATTCTTTGATTTTTTTCTTACTGAGTTGTTGGAGCTCCCTATACATTCTTGTTATTAATCCCTTGTCAGATGGGTAGTTTGCAAATATTTTCTCCCATTCTGTGGGTTGTCTTTTCTTTTTCTTGATTGTTTCCTTTGCTGTGCAGAAGCTTTTAGCTTTACGTGACCCCATTTGTCCAATTTGGCTCCGGTTGCCTGTGCTTTGGGGTCTTACTCAAGAAGCCCTTGCCCAGACCAATGTCCTGAAGCATTTCCCCAATGTTTTCTTTTAGTAATTTCATAGTTTCAGGACTTAAAGTCTTTAATTCATTTTGATTTGATTTTTACATACAGTGAGAGATAAGGATTTAGTTTCATTCTTCTGCACATGGATATCCAGTTTTCCCAGCACCATTTATTGAAGAGACTATCCTTTTTCCAAAGTATGTTCTTGGCACCTTTGTTGAAGATAAGTTCACTACAGATATGTGGATTTATTTCTGGATTCTCTATTCTGTTCCATTGGTCTATGTGTCTGTTTTTATTCCAGTACCAGGCTGTTTTGGTTACTACAGCTCTGTAGCATAATTTGAGGTCAAGTAATGTGATTCCTCCAGTTTTGTTCTTTTTGCTCAGGATGGCTTTGGCTAGTCTCGGTATTTGTGGTTCCATATAAATTTAGGATTATTTTTTTCTATTTTTGTGAAGAATGTCATTGGTTCTGATGGGGATTGCATTGAATCTGCTGACTGCTTTGGGGAGTATGGACATTTTAACAATATTGATTCTTCCAACCCATGAGCATGGAATATCTTACCATTTTTTGTGTGTGTCCTCTTCAGTTTCTTTCATCAATGTTTTATAGTTTTCATTGTAAGGATCTTTCACTTCTTTTGTTAAATTTATTTCTTGGTATTGTATATTATTTTATTTGTAGCTACCATAAATGGGATTATTTTTTGGTTTCTTTTCCAGTTTGTTGTCAGCATACAGAAATGCTACTGATTTTTGAATGTTGACTTTGTATCCTGCAAGTTCACTGAATTTGTCAATTCTAATAGTTTTATTTTATTTTATTTTATTTTTGAGACAGAGTCTCGCTTTGTTGCCCAGGCTAGAGTGAGTGCCGTGGCATCAACCTAGCTCACAGCAACCTCAAACTCCTGGGCTCAAGCAATCCTGCTGCCTCAGCCTCCCAAGTAGCTGGGACTACAGGCATGCACCACCATGCCTGGCTAATTTTTATATATATATATATTAGTTGACCAATTCATTTCTTTCTATTTATAGTATAGATGGGTTTTCTCGCTCTTGCTCAGGCTGGTTTCGAACTCCTGACCTCGAGCAATCCGCCCGCCTCGGCCTCCCAGAGTGCTAGGATTACAGGCGTGAGCCAGTTCTAATTGTTTTCTGTGGAGTCTTTAGGTTTCTATAGATACAGGATCATATCGTCTGTAAACAAGGATAATTTGACTTCTTCCTTTCCAATTTAGATGTCCTTTCTTTCTTTCTGTTGTCTGATTACTCTGTAACTGGAACTGCCAGCACTATGTTGAATAACAGTAACCCACTGCTCTTACGGAGGTTCCTAATGACCTACATGTTGCCCAATCTAAAGGTCACTTCTCTCTTCTCATCTTACTTGCCTTCCCGGTGGCTTCTGACACTTTCTCTTTCTTGAGATACATTCTCTTCCTCTGCTTTCTTAACTTCACCCTCTTGGTCTTGCTCCTCCCTCAGCGTCCCCTCCTTTCCAGTCTCCTCTGGTCCCTCTTTTCAGCTCAGTTTCTGAATGCCAGCACGGCCCTGGGCTTCCAGGTCTTCTTTTTCCAATCGTGCACTTCTCTCTTGCAGGATTGTGAGAATTGCCTGAGGTAATGAGTGTGTGTCTTTAGAGAATCCACGCTATTAATCATAATTATGCTCTCATGTGTCACTCTGGCAAGAAGATGAGCCGCCCTTCCCCCACACCCCCAGACACTTGTCACATGGCTCCAGTGTCCAGGGAACAGACTTACGGGAAGACCACTGCTCCCCACATAGGCTGAGTACCACACCAACATGGATCTCTGAAAACTTAGATTTAAGAAAAATCCCATTATCTCTGCCAGGGCCTTACAACCCACTGTTTTTATAATCCATTCAGCTTCAGACCTTTCAGGAGATGAGGTGTGTGTGAGTGTGGGTACGTAGCCTTCCACAGACACAGGCAGGAGTCTGGCTCAATGAGAGCAGGCAGTTTCTGAGATTCTTCTGCCAGGACTGTGAGGACCATATTCACAGCCTTCATCCTTCTAGAAAATGAAGTTATGGAGCCGAGTGTGGTAGCCCATGGCTGTAGTCCCAGCTACTCAGGAAGCCGAGGCAGGAGGATCCCTTGAGCCCAGGAGTTCAAGGTTGTAGTGTGCCATGAATGTGCCACTGCACTCTACTCAAGACCCTGTTTCATTTAAAAAAAAAAAAAAAAAAGGAAAGTGAACCTATGCATTGAACAGCAGTTGGGTGACATCACACCACTCCAGGTCATGCCAAAGGAGGCATTCATTCGTCCAACATACCTTTACTGGGCAGGCATTAAGCATGTCAGGCACTGCGCTCGAGGAACGAGCAATGAGTGAGACAGCAAGCAGCAGGGTCCCTGCCCCAGGACCTCCCGGCCAAGTGGAGGACACCAAACACCACCAGCGAACAGGAAATTGCAGTGCATTGTGATAGGACATTCAGGGGGACTAGGGATCTAGGGGTAAGAGGCAATGGCACTGAACCTGGCCAGTGACAGGTGGGGTGGCTCAGAAACGTCTTGGTGAGGAAGTGACTTCCAAATTGAGAACAAAAAGGTGCCTGGGAGTTAGGTTTAGGGAAAAGCAAGTGTGACGTTTCCAAGGTGTGCAAGAGCTTGAGTTTCTGAGGAGACGTAAATAGACCGAGTGTTAAGTGCACAGAATGGGGGTTGGATCCAGCTGAGAATAGACCTCACTGGGCCTTAGAAGATACTGAGGACCTGGGATTGTCTAGAGTTTACACCAGCGAGGGCGCAAGCAGGGAGAGATCAGTGTCTGCTGTAGTCCCTCAGGTACTCCGCCCTCAGCTGGCAACTGGGAACACTGAGCTGGCTCCAGTGCTAATTTCTGGGTAGCTGGAATTTGCCTCCCTGGACCGCTGCTGCTGTAAACAGTCAGCTTTGGACTAGATGATCTCTAATATCTGCGACTGCTTCTGCGATGGCTCCAATTTCCTTCAAGTCTCCCTTCCCTGTTTCCTCTTTCCCAGCTGGGAACACCTTTGGGGGAAACGTCCTTTTCTCATCTGCATGTCCGCTGGGGCGGGAGCCCCCCCGGGCCGACGCACTTGTGCGTGCTCCCCAGGCCGGCTGTGCACACTGCTCTCACGGGTACCGAAAGCTTGCAGGCCTGCGTTTGACCCCCTCCACACCCCGAGCCATTTTGCTGTGTGTGGAGGGGTGGGGGTGGGGGTGGGGGGAGCTCAAAGAGAGGAGCAGGCTGCCCGCCCAAGTTCAGAAGCCAACCGCCTAGGTTCAAGCCCAGCTCCACGACCTCTTCCCAGATGTGCGGCAAGCCACTCGGTCTTGCTAAGCCTCTTTTTAATTTTTTTTTTAAATTTATTTCCTTTTTTTTAAATTATTATTCTTTTAGCTTAGTATTGACATGATGCACATGGATCGCTAAGCCTCTTGCCCTCGATTTAACACGAAGATGGCACTTACTTCGCGGGACCGCCCCCGAGGGACAAGAGGAGAGGGCGTGTACTGACCGGCAGGTACGACAGGCCGGCCGGCCCGCAGGCGGTGGGTTTTATCCCCAGGCCGGCGTCCTGCCCACGCCCCAGCGCGCCCCACGTGCCTCCCGTAAATAAGCGAGTGCGCAGGCGCGCCGGGCGGGCGCCCATTGGCCGGCGCGGGGCGCGGGGCGCGGGGAGCGGGCGGCTGGCCGCGGGCTCCCGCCCCGTCGGTTGGGCAGCGCGTCCGTCGGTCCGCGAGACGCCGCCGGCGTCGCCCTGGCCATGGCGCTCTGGCTGCCGCTGCTGTCGCTGCTGGGGCTGATCCCGGGCGCGGCGCCCGCCCCCGCCAAGCTCCGAGACGCCGGCGCTCAGGGCTGGGGGCCGCCGCCCCCGGCGCTGCTGGGGCCCGCGCGCTTCGCCCTGGAGATGTACAACCGCGGCCGGGCTGCGGGGACGCGGGCGGTGCTGGGGGCCGTGCGCGGCCGCGTCCGCCGGGTGAGGGCGCGCCGGGGCCGGGCCTTTGGCCTAGGCTTGGGGTGGGGGCCTGGACCGCGGAGAGACGGAGCTCTGGGCGCTGGGAGCCGGGCGGGCGGCGCGGCGGCCGGGCTGTGGGGTCAGTGAAGGACAGGCCGAGGACGGAGTGGCTGCGCCCGCCTCACCCGCTCCTCTGTCCAGGCGGGCCGGGGGAAGCTGTACTCCCTGGAGGCGACCCTGGAGGAGCCACCCTGCAACGACCCCATGGTGTGCCAGCTCCCTGTGTCCAGGAAAACCCTGGTGAGTGATGGGACTCCTGCCAGTTCCCCGCCCCCAGGCTGAGTCAGCAGCAGTCGGATGATGATGGGTCAGGTGAAGAGGCGGGGATCTAGGGCAGCAGCTACCCCATCCAGAGTCACTTCCCAGGCCTTGAGGGCCAGAGACTAAGATACGGTGAAAAGGAGGGTGTCCGGGTGCTGGCTGTGCCTCAGTCTCCACTGTGGGGCTGATTGCCTTGGGGTGGTCTTCATTCTGAGGAGCCTCTGTCGTACACTCAGACCGTGCACCCATCCCAGCCCCCAGACTGGCTTCTTCCTCTCTCTCCAGCTCTGCAGCTTTGAAATCCTGGATGAGCTAGGAAAACACATGCTGCTGAGGAGGGACTGTGGCCCAGTGGATACCAAGGTTACAGGTGCTGGGATAGCCCAAGGATGCTGGGATAGCCTGGTCAGACTTTACTCAGAGTTCCGTCTTAACTCCTTCTCTGTCCCACCTCTATCCAGAAGACAGAAACGAGACTTCAGTCCTTCCGCTGTTGAGCAAGGACCCCCTGCCCCACGTGAGGAGCCCATCCTGGGGTGGGGGGCAGTGCTGCCTTATTCCACTTCTCCCTTCATGCTGCAGTGGGGCTCCCTGGTCAGGGGGAACTCCTTGTAAAGACCCTTCTGCCTTTCCAGGACTTTTCTGTGAAGATGGCTTCAGTCTTCAAGAACTTTCTCGTCACCTATAACCGGACATATGCGACTAAGGAAGGTGAGGACCCAACTGTGGCTGAACCTGTTTGAGTCAGATCAGGGCCTTCCTCCCCAGCTCGGCACCTTGGTGTTGGGGAAGGGAAGGACACAAGAGGCAGTGCATCTTTTCAAAGGCCCTTGAGTTCCCAAATTCTCCTGAGCGGCCACCCCAAGTACCTGGTCCCTTCTCCTACCTTATCTTCCTGGTCAGAAACCATGGGCCTCCATCACTCCGGGCAGGGCAGGATGGGGCAGAGGCCAGATTTTTCTCTGCTGTAGGCCCCCTGGCACCATGGTTGTTCCCCATGGCCTCTTGTGGGTGGTGCCTGTTGACCCATTTCGATTACTGCTTTCACATCTGGGAAGTCATCACTCCAGTTTGTCCCCCAGAGTTGATCGGACCTCCCACTCCATCACTTGCTGATCTGGTCCCCCACTGCCACCTGCCCCAGGGTTCTGTCCTTCTTGAGCAGAGCTTCAGGTCTGATCCAGAATGCACCTACTCGCCAGGGAAAGCCCCACTTGCTATCCCCCCTTGCCCTTTTGTGTATGATTTGCCTGGGCTTGAGCCCCTCCTCTCTTGCTCCTTGGTCCTCAGAAGCCCGGTGGCGCCTGTCCGTCTTTATCAGTAACATGATGCGAGCACAGAAGATCCAGGCTCTGGACCAAGGCACAGCTCTCTATGGGGTCACCAAGTTCAGTGATCTCACAGGTAGGGGTGGTGTCCGGAGCCCTCGTGGAGCCTGGAAGAGACAGGGCCTGCTCCCAAGGTCCCTGATCAGGCTAGCTTAGAATACTCTTTCCCGTCACAACCTGCCCACCTTTGTCCACAGAGGAGGAGTTCCGCACCATCTACCTGAACCCCTACCTAAGAGAAGATACTGGCAAGAAAATGCGCCAAGCCAGGCCTGTGGATAACCCTGCCCCACCTGAATGGGACTGGAGGAATAAGGGGGCTGTCACCAGTGTCAAGAACCAGGTTGGACACCTAGAAGTGAGGGTGGGACACGAGTACTGCACTGGGTATGGGGAAGGGATCCAGCCCTAACTCAGCCTGTCTTTTTCAGGGCATGTGTGGTTCCTGCTGGGCCTTCTCAGTCATAGGCAATGTGGAGGGCCAGTGGTACCTGAACCGGGGGAACCTGCTGTCCCTCTCTGAGCAGGGTGAGCATCCCACTCACCACCCCCCTGTCCCCAGCCCAGCCCCTCTGTAGGGCTTCTTGGAACCAGCCTTCTGTCTCCTAGAACTCTTGGACTGTGACAAGATGGACAAAGCCTGCATGGGTGGCTTGCCTTCCAACGCCTACTCGGCCATAAAGAATTTGGGTACGCATCAGTGGGGTGAGGCGGGGCAGCAGGAGCCCCCTCTCCATCTGAAGGAGGTCAGTGTACAAGGGGTAGACATGAGCATGGGAGTCACATAGAACTGGGCTCAACTCTTAATGCTCACCCTTATTGGCTGAAGACCTTGGACAAGTCTGCTCTTTCCAAGCCTCAGTTGCTTCATCTGTGAAATGGGGCTCACTGTGCCCAACTTGTAGGACTACTTTGAATATCAAGCAAGGAAGGCTCATAGCAGGGACTTGGTGAGCAGGGGGTCTTGGTATATTTGATGTTTGGGGGGGGGTGTATTTCTCTAATGTTGCTAAACCAAGTAGCAACGCACCTTGCCCTTGAAGGAGGTATTGACCTAAATTGGCAGTTCAGTTCAGCGGGGGGCTGCAGTGGCAGAAGGATGAAGAGCTGAGGGACTGAGGTGGCTGTACAGAGACTGGTGCAGGAGCCTGGCAGGGGTCTGGGCTAGATTAGGAGTGCAGCCAGCGGAACAAGTAGAACAAAGTCAAGGGTGCCAGGAATGCTAGGAGGAACCCTCAGCAAGCTGGGAGTTGAGTCCTGTCCCTGCCGCTTTCTTTGCTGGTTACTGCTCCTCCCTCTTCCCCACCTCTCCCAGCTTTGCAGTATCAAATCGCGAATGAGGGTGTTTCTCAGAGGGGATGGCATGTGGCCTGGGGTGGGCGAGGACTATGAGACCTCATGTCTAAGGGGCTTAGCACACTTCTCTGGCTGTGAGTGGTAAACGGGAGTCCATCCTTTCCCTACCCACTCGCAACCCACCTGTCTATCCCCAGGAGGGCTGGAGACAGAGGATGACTACAGCTACCGGGGCTACATGCAGGCCTGCAACTTCTCGGCAGACAAGGCCAAGGTCTACATCAATGACTCAGTGGAGCTGAGCCAGAATGAGCAGAGTGAGTGAGCGGTGGGGTGAGGCCAGGCAGTGGGGCTGGGTCCCAGATGCCTGCTGATGCCGTCCGTCCCTCCCCAGAGCTGGCGGCCTGGCTGGCCAAGAAAGGCCCGATCTCCGTCGCCATCAATGCCTTTGGCATGCAGGTAGGGCCCGAGCCCGCTGCCCCTGCTCCCTCTCCTGCTGACTCTTCCCCCACTTCTTGGGACCGGCCCCCTACTCCTTTGTCTGCCCCCCCAGTTCTACCGCCACGGGATCTCCCGCCCACTCCGGCCTCTCTGCAGCCCTTGGCTCATCGACCATGCCGTGCTGATTGTGGGCTACGGCAACCGTGAGTTCTGCTGACCGTCCGTGTGTCCACTGCAGGCCATGGGCGGGGCTGGACCACAGCATCTCAGGACCTCCAGAGGGGGAAATCGGGGCAATGACTGGAAACCCTGTCCTTACCCCCTGTCTCTGGCTGTGGGCAGGGCAGGAATCAGCCATCCCCTCCACGGAAGGGAGGCTGCGGCTATGGGAGGTTGGATGATTATGGCCCGGTAACCTGCTAGAGGCGGGTGGTGGGTGTTCTCCCCCGGCCCAGAGCTGCACCAGGTCTCGTGAGGGTGGCAGGTTGGCCTCTCTTGCTTTCTGCTCTCTCCCTAGTAGCTGCCACACAGTAGGCCCACCCACCGCAGGTGTTTGAAGGGTGCAAAGTGCTTGAGGCTCTGACTGGAGAATTGGGGATCCCTGACTCCTTGCACCCCACACTGTTCCCCAGGCTCTGACATTCCCTTCTGGGCCATCAAGAACAGCTGGGGCACCGACTGGGGCGAGGAGGTGAGTCTTGCCTGCTTGGCCTCTGGCTCTCCAGCCTCATCCGACCCTGGTGCCCTCACCGGCTCCCCCTCTCCCCCAGGGTTACTACTATTTGCATCGTGGGTCCGGGGCCTGTGGTGTGAACACTATGGCCAGCTCAGCAGTGGTGGACTGAGGAGCCCACTGGCTTGGGACCTGGTGCTGACCAGAGCAGCCCCTTCCCCAGCCTGCCCTGCGTGTCCAGGCCTCTCCCTAGGAGGTACAGCTGGCTGAGGGACAGGCACTGGATCACTCGGGGTGAGCACCCGGCTTGCACAGCCCCTACTTCCCTCCACCCCACTCCCACCCTGAAGTCCCCAGCTGCACCTTTGTTGAATTGTGGTAGTAGTACCTAGGACGATCTTGGGTTGGAGGATGATTTCTTGGCTGCTGAAGCTGCGGCAAGAACTTGGCCCAAGTAATGAGCAGAAAGAAAATATTCTGATCTTCAACCCAGCTCTGTCCTCAGCAGGCTCTGGCTTCCGCCCCAGCTTTCCTCTCTTTGATGCTAGACATTTTCTGGTCCCCCTGGATATGGGGACGGTGTCCCCTTCCACACCCAGGAAACTTGTAACTGCCCTTTCTAACAGCAATAAAGAGGTGTTCTGGTCCCCAGTATGGTGTGAGTTCTTAGTCCCTGAGGGATGGTGGGAACCCCTGGCGGTCAAGGTGGGGATAGCTGGTCCTGCCCCGGAGCCTGAGGGCCCAGCTTTTGCTTCTGCTACAAGGATACAGGAGAGGCCCATGGATGGAGCTTTATTCAGAAAAACAAGGCCGCTGTGCTCTGAGGGATGGGTGGGCTCAGCCACAGGGAGCAGTCTCTCTCCATCTTGCGTAGACACCCTCAGTGGTTGAGGTCAGAGGTCACTCTCCCCGTAGAGGGCGCTGGAGAAGGCCACATAGTCCAGGGCTCCAGCCGGGGCCCCGGACCCTTTGTAGGGCACCATGCGGCGGATGCAGTACTCGGCCTGCTCGGCTGGGAGCTCGCGGCGTAGCTCCTCGGCAGTGATATATTTCTGCAGGAGGAGAGGTGTTGAGGGCCCACACATCCTGTTCCTCGCCCTAGCCCGCCCGCCCCTCCACTGCCCCAGGCTCACCTTGTCTCCTGCCAGGATCTTGAAGGAGGCCACAACTTGCTCAGCCGTGTCAGTCTCTGCTGTCTCTCGGGTCATGAAGTCAATAAAGGCCTGGAAGGTCACCACCCCGGCTGCGTTGGGGTCTACCATGGTCATGATGCGAGCAAACTCCACTTCCCCCTGCAGAGCAGGGCCAGGCACCGTGCCATGAGCGCTGACTCCAGGGGCCAGCCTCGCTTGCACAACCCCTGTGACAGGGTGTCCCCTTCCTCCAAAGACCTCAGCCCTGGCCCCAGCTCCTCATGGTAGGCTGAAGTCTGCTTCCTGCCCACTGCAATGGCCCCTCTTGCTTGTTGGTCTTTGGGGCCACACAGAACTAGGTCCAAGTTAATTTACCTCTCGGGGCCCTCGATAGCCCCTCAACACGCAGGAGGGCCTTGACGGGACTCCGGGAGGCGGCCACTCACCAGGTCGTAGCCCATGGAGATGAGGCAAGCGCGGAAGTCGTCGGGCTCCATCATCCCATTCCGCTTCTGTAGGGGGTGAGTGGACATCAGGCTTGGTCCCCAAACCCCACCAGCTCCAGAGTCTCTTCCCCTACAGGGCTGGGCCCCTGCTGACCCGGTCAAAGTGGTTGAAGGATGCCCGGAACTCATTGAGCTGCTCCTGGCTCAGCCCCTTGGCGTCTCGGGTCAGCACCTGGTTCTCCACCTCGTTGATGGTGCGGGCGATGGAGGTGAGCAGCTGCTCCCAGCCCACGCGGATGTGCTGGGGGCAGGCAGGGCCACGGTCAGTGGATGGCCCTTGCCCGCCAATGGACCTAGCTCCACCCCAATCCACCAGGTGACCCTGTGCAAGTTCTCCCCTTCACTGGGCCTCCATCTCCAGCTGGAGGTTCCACTGAGTGACCCCCAGGCCCCCTTCCTACATTAAAGTTGAATGATTTATTATGTATTAATATTGATCAACTAGCCATAGCCAATCCTTTAGACTGCTTTGTGACTCTGGACTTTTCGTCACTGGGTCTCAGTATTCTGTGGGTACCTTGGGGGACTTGGCCAAGCTGAACTGGGGACCCTTCTGGGACACATGCTGTGTCCAGCTGTGATGGCTCCAGTCTTTCCCAGCCAGCACCCCACCCCCAGCGGGTGTGCTCCCACCTCCATGCTGTAGACAGTGTGCTTGTTGTCAAACACCAGGCTCTCCTGCAGCAGCTGGTGGTCACCCTCCAGCCGGTCGATGTTGCTCTTGTAGTTGATGATGTTCTGCTCCTGTTGCCGCAGCCCAGCCATCTGGTCCTCCAGAGAGCCGATCAGCCCCGCTGCCAGCCTCCCCACTTCCTGCGGGGTACCCAGGCAGCATGAAGACTCCCAACTCCCTGCAGCCCAGCCTTGGCCCCACCCCCCCAGGCTGGGACCACTATCCGTGCCCTCACCTCCACCTTCGTCTGGATCCAGGGTCCGACGGCATTGGCCTGGGCTGCAAACTGTCGCCGGAGCCTCTCGTTCACCTGCTGCCGTGCCAGCTCCTCCTGCAGTGTCTGGTCACGGCTGGGTACTAGCTTTCGGATCTGGAAGGAGGGTACTTGGTGCCAGGGCCAGCTCTGGGAGCTGGGGAATGGCTTTGAGGAGAGATGGGCCCATAAGTCCTGCTCCCTGCCCCTCAAACCTCAGCCTGTTGCTGTGAGCCAAATTGGGCTTTATGGGCAAGGCCTTGGGCAAGCCAGTGACCTCTGCAGGCTTCAGTTCCTCACCTGCAATGTGGACTGATGACATCATTTATAACTAACAGAGGCGGTTTTGTAAAAGATGTCCACACAGAAGACTTAATTCTACTTCACATCAGTCCTGACAAGAAAATGCTGCTGTTACAGCCATTATACAGATGAGGCCCAAACAGGCGAGGGGACTTATCCAAAGCCGCCTGTGGCAGGCCCCAGCTCTGGTGGTGAACTTTATTCTCCCTATCTTGGGACATCCAAGGTTTCAGGGTGTGCATGGGGCATGGGGGCAGGAAAAGGCGACAAGTGGCACTGACCTTGTCCCACTTATTGTTGATGTCCTGTGGGCTGAGGCTGATGTAGGGGCTGGTGGTGCTGGGCCGCAGCCCGTACGTCTGGCAGATCTTCTGGATCTCAGCCTGGATGCCCATGATGGCACCCCGCTCCCGGTCAGCCTCGGGCAGCGTTGCCTTGAACTGCTCGTGGGCTGTCAGCAGGCTCTGGGGCAACAGGCAGGAAGCTTCAGCTAGCGCCCCCCACTGACCGCAGGCAACAGAAGGGCAGCACCGAGCTCCAGGCAGGCCTGACACAGAGACTCCCGTCTCCCAGCCCAGCACTTGAGAACTGGGGTTTTCCTCCCATCCCATGCCCCAGGAGCCCAGGGGAGTGGCCGACAGGATTTGGGGCCAGCTTCCCTGTCACCTCATTCCCATCCAGCCTCCCCCAACCCTGGCGCCCACCTGGGTCTCCTCCACGGAGTGCACCAGCCACACGTCCTGCAGGTCCTCCACGGCCCCGTCCAGCCAGTTGTTGAAGGGCGCTGCCCGCCGGGCGAATTCCAGCTGCAGCTGGTCGATGGTCTCCAGGAGCTTCTCCATCCGCTGGGGCCAAGGGTGGTGGCTCAGCAGCGGCCCAGCCTGCTGGCCTCACCCACCTCCCGCCCCAGCTCCCTGGGGCCCAGCCCCACCTCCAGCGCATCCCGCCTCTTCTGGGTCAGTGTGCCCAGGTTGTCCCACTGGTCACAGATGGCCTGGCAGCGGCTGTTCACCGAGGCTGCTTCATGGTAGTCCAGCTCACTGGGAGCGAGAAGTGGGGCGAGTGTGGGGCCAGACTCCGGCCCAGATGCCCTCCTGACTCCCCTCCCCCTCTAGGACGGCGCCAGGCGTGGTGGTGAAGGTAAAGGTGGTGAAGAGAGCCAGGGCAGGTGTGTGGGGGGGTAAAGCAGGGCTTTCCTAGGGGGGTCTCTACATGAAGAGGGACACCCGTGGGTCCTCAGCACCAGTCCACGGAGGTGCTTGGATGGAAGGGCAGGGCCTGGCATCTGGGGGGCAGCGTTATGCGGAAAGGGGTGGGCTTACAGGAGAAGGTGGCGAGGCCAAGGCTGATGAGGAGGGTTTGGGGGAGCAGGCCTAGGCTAGGGGTGAAGGGAGCGGCCAGGTTAGGGACAGGCCACGGCGTGGGACAGGTCCGGCGCCAGTGGGGGAAAGTGTGGGCAGCAGAGCGGGGTCCGGAGACGGGGATGGAGTTCTTGAGCGGTGATGGGGCAGGTCTCGGGTACCATGCAGGACGGGGTTTCGGAGCCCAGGGGAACCGAACGTCAGGAGCGGGGCGCGGGAGGTGGGGCTTGCCGTCGAGGGGCGGGCCAGGCAGGGCGGGTCGCCGGGCGCGCCCCCTACTTGAGCTCCTGCGCCAGCGCCGCGATGTGCTCCACGCGGTCCTGGTGCGCCGCCAGGTCGCTCTCGAAGGCCTCGTGGCGCCGCAGCAGCGCCCGCACCTCCTGCAGCGAGGCCGACTCGTAGTCGCGCTGGCTCAGCATGTCCTCCTTCCCTGCGCGGAGGGAGGCCCGGCTGCGGTCACCCCGCGCGGCCCCGCCGTGGGACCGTGGAGAAGCCTCACCTGCGAGTGCAGGTGGTCACACCTGCCCAGCCTGCCCTAGGGGTTTGCTCTGAGGCGCCAGCGCAATAAAATTAGGTGAAGTTTCTGTTCTCAGGTGTCACCCATAAATGATGTCAGCGCCCCCTGACCCAGCATGGTCCAGGCTGGCCTTTGGTACAGTTTTGGAATTATTTGACCTCCGGACGACTCTGTGAGCGCCATGGACCCCTGACCTGCTCTCCTCGGTCCACCACTGTTTCCCCAGGGCCTGGGACAGGGCCTGGCACTCGGTAGACCCTTGATAAATATTTGTTGGATGAATTAAATAATGAATGATAATTGTAATTATGCAAATACTCAATTTTTTTTTTTTTTTGAGACAGAGTCTCGCTTTGTTGCCCAGGCTAGAGTGAGTGCCGTGGCGTCAGCCAAGCTCACAGCAACCTCAAACTCCTGGGCTCAAGCAATCCTGCTGCCTCAGTCTCCTGAGTAGCCGGGACTACAGGCATGCGCCACCATGCCCGGCTAATTTTTTCTATATATATTAGTTGGCCAATTAATTTCTTTCTATTTATAGTAGAGACGGGGTCTTGCACTTGCTCAGGCTGGTTTCGAACTCCTGACCTTGAGCAATCCGCCCGCCTTGGTCTCTCAGAGTGCTAGAATTACAGGCGTGAGCCACCGCGCCTGGCCGAAAGAATGTTTATATACAGAGTGATATATTTGACTCATGCAATATTTTAGCATCAATATACTTTGAGTATGACATAGGTGATGTTAGGGTTAGGGATGGACTCACCTTTGGACACCAGCTACATGTGTCTATGTTTACAAATAAAATGCTAAACGATAAATTAATCGGAGAAGACCTACAGAAGGCCAGAGCCAGGGAGCAAGGGAGCTGAGTTTACAGATAAAGAAATTGTGGCCTATAGAGGGACAGT